CCCACCCCCCCGCCCCGGCCAAGTACCTTTCAAAAAAGAAACATTTTGAAAGTAGGTGTAAAAGATCAATTCTTTTGTAGAGAAATGGATAAAATAATGATTAAGTAGTCAGTCCCAGTGTTACTGTTCAGTGTGGCTGAACACGTTCCAGGTCTAAGTTAGTTAGCTAAGGCTCTTTGTAACTAAGAGGGGAAAATGGATACCTCCAACACACGACTCATTTTATGCTAAACTAGATATCTGCGGTAACTGAATCACGATTTGGAGGAGTTCATTTCTCTCGTGTGTAACAATGGCTGCTGAGATTTACACAGGTTCTAGTCAGCTGAAGTTGTGTGAGATTAATTTCATCAGTGTACTTGCAAACACTGAGGAAAACTGAAGCAGTGTTTTCATTGTTCTGGTTTTATCAATGTAGAAGTAAGTAATGCTTACGAATGAAACTGCCTGTATATATACATATATGTGTTTTTGTTCTCTGCGTGGGGAAGAGTGGGTGTGGGGATGACTTCTTTCCAGTGTACTTTTAAAAGGTAAGGTAGTACCTTTAAAAGGTAGTACCTTTAAACTGAGAAGGAACACAATTGTTGGTGCCAGGGTCCTCACAGATGGTGCTACTGGGTGATGAGCTGTGCTCTTTTTTTAGGTGAAGTCTGTGAATATAACCCCCTGGCTTGTTGAGGACCATTTTGATACCACTGTCAAGATGAGTACGTACCTTGTGGCCTTTATCGTTTCGGATTTTAAATCCATCAGCAAAACAACAGGTCATGGAGTTAAGGTAACTCTGTCTCATTTTCTAAGAGCTTTTTTGTATTTAAGTCTGTATGAATATATAACGGTTTACTCTTCAGTTAAATCATAGGATTTATATATCTCGATGTTTTACAGGAACGAAAGGAGAGAAAGAATTTGGTTTTGTAATTGGCTGATTAGTTTGAATTCTAAGCTTTATTAGTTTCAAAACTAATAAGTAAGTAAGGGGTTACTTTTTATGTAATTATATGCATTGGTAACATAGTTTGGTTCATGTAAGATTATATAATTAAAGGCCAATGAAATACAATTTTCATGGAGGAGCAACGTTAAAATAAACCTCTGTCAGTTGAATGACTCTATCATGGTAAAGGTGGAAATAGTAAAAGTCTTTGTAGGGGCCTAGTGGTTCTGGTGGGTAAGTTTTAAAACTTGTATTCCTAATTCTGATAATATTTTTCTTCAAATGTTTTAATACCTCTTGTATGAGAATACCTCTTAATAATACCTTTAATACCTCTTGTATGAGAAGTGTTAGGTTTATGCTCTAGTGTCCCTTTTTATGGTCATTCAAGTAACTGTGATAACAAACAACTTCTGTGAGCTTTGGATGCTGGTATTGAGGTGCTACCTGTTCGTCTGCTATAGATTTCTGTGTACACAGTGCCAGACAAGATCAACCAAGCTGATTATGCATTGGATGCGGCAGTGAAACTTTTAGACTTCTATGAGGATTACTTCAGCATTCCATATCCTTTACCTAAACAAGGTCAGTGTTAAATAATTTAATGTATTTGAGAACATTATTAAGCACAGAGAGTAAAATAGCACAAAATCAGTAATTTAGCGTATTAAGACAAGGGCGAGTTTGGCTCACAGGCTTTTAAAGTGGCTGCCTCACAGAACTTAAGGACAGATTGAAAAGCTCCACTGGGAATGGAAGATCCTTGTCTTCTGTACAGAGCTTTATTTTAAAGTATGTTTTTGCACTTAGGTTTAAGAGAGCCCTTAGAAGTACGTGTGATATGTGTCCCTGTGTGGGAGCAGTCGTGAAGTGGAATGAGGCGGTGAGCGAGTTCTTTTTGAGTAAAATGATACTAGTACTATTTTAATGTTTTTTCTAGATTTAGCAGCTATTCCTGATTTTCAGTCTGGTGCTATGGAAAACTGGGGACTGACCACATACCGGGAATCTGCATTGCTGTATGACCCTGAAAAGTCCTCAGCATCTTCTAAACTTCGGATTACTATGATAATAGCCCATGAACTGGCTCATCAGGTGGGATCTGGGGAAGAATAAGGCGTTCAAATGGGTCAGGCTTGATGGATCCTGTGTGGGTAGGGGGATGTTGGAGCTATAAGCTGAAAACAGCTGCTTCAGCTTGAGGGTGCTCATCTGTGAATCACGAGGACTGTGTCTGGTGAAGGAGTCCCAGCAGGCTGTATAGATGTGGAGGGCTGTAAACATCAACGTGTTCAGTTCAGCAGCACAGATGCTGTGGGGCCTTTGCACCATTGTTAGCCCTTGAAATTAATTGCAGGCCACCAAAATAGCAACATAAAAGTTTGGAATGGTTAAATGTTTCATATGTGGCTCTCCTGCTAAATGTGGTTTCTTGACAAGGTTTCTTGGAAGGTGAGTGGAAGCCAGTGTTTAGTGTATTACCATTAAAATGAGAATGCAATGGGAAGAGGACAGAGCAAGCTGTATCACTAAAAAAAGGTTCCTTAAAGGTCAGTAACATGCTACAGGTCAGTAGCAGCTTTTGTGATAAATTGTGTATTTCATTTCAGAAGCTCTTTTTTTTTTTTTCCCCAGTGGTTTGGCAACCTTGTTACCATGGAGTGGTGGAATGATCTGTGGTTAAATGAAGGGTTTGCAAAGTTTATGGAGTTCGTGTCAGTCAGCATTACCCATCCAGAACTGAGAGTTGTAAGCAGCTGTTACTGTATTTTTATTTTATAACTGCCTTCTAAATCCACTAATTAATAAGGAAGCAGATTTGTGTCGTGAGCCACTTTTAAATTTCTGTTTGGTAGGATTATCTGATGTTAACCCTGAAGGCTAGGAATGTTAATTTAACTATATGTAAATATTTTCAGGAACTGATGATGGAAGTTGATGATTGGAGTGAAAGTGTATTCTTTTTTTAAAGACATTTAGACTCCCCAAAATGTGAAGAAATTATTTTTTCTTATTTCATCAAATAGATTCAGACATGAAAACACTAAAATCCTTCCACTAGATTCAGCAGAGGTCCGATATATGAAATTTTCTACAAAAGTGAGATGAACAATGCATCTGGGCAGAATTTTGCCATAGCACTAAAGTAGCATGATAACAGGGAAATTCACTTTTTTTTTTCTTTAATTTGTTTTATGGTTACTGGCCACTCTGTCATCAGACTGTTGGAATGTGTGGGTGTCTTTTTGGAGTTATTTTTAAGACTCACTAGCTTGACTATTTAAGTTAGTTTAGATCACTAGAACTCCTTTGGCTGTCTGTGTTACTGTTTTGGTTTATTTTATACTCTGGAATAAAAAGAAAGATATGTTTTGTTTTCTTTGTGTGATTTAAAGGTCATGTGGACTGGACTGAAAAGTGAATGAATAGCGACTCAGTGGTCACTGAGAAAAATTTAGTAGTAATATTTGGTTTTGCCTCCTATTAGGAAGACTTTTTCTTAAGTAAATGTTTTGATGCCATGTCAGTGGATGCATTAAATTCATCACATCCTATATCCACTCCTGTGGAAGATCCAGCTCAAATTTTAGAAATGTTTGATGAAGTTTCTTATGAGAAGGTAAAGTACATAACTGCTATTGATTTCAGTTGTACTGCTTGTACTACACAGTTGTATTTTACTGATTTCACCCCTACATAAAAGAGATCCCTGACATGTGGTGTTAATGGTTTTATGACTTGAATAATTCCTTGTCCAAAACACCTGGGTGGATTCAAACGGCAGTTCTAAAATGAGGAAGCCTTTACTTCTGTCTGTTCTGTATCAGTTTAGTCTTAAACCATCGTTTTTTTAGATTCTTAACTCAAGGAGTGTTTTTCACTGGAGCATTATATGGTGCTGGCTTATATAGTAATTAAAAAAATCATAACATAACTTACTCAATCATTGATATTTTTAAGTGTTAGGATCACAAAAAAACAAAGTAGTGTTTCAATATACATAAAACATGATTATTTTTTAATCAGAGAGACATACAAAAGCGAACTATTACGTAGATCAGTGGCATGCTGAAATTTTTCTGCAACAAGCATCTTGCCAGCTAAGGAGTAGTTCTGTAAACACTTTGCCACTCTTTTTTTCAGGGATCTTGTGTATTAAATATGCTGAGGGACTACCTGACTGCTGATGTGTTTAAAGCTGGACTTGTCCAGTACCTGCAGAAATACAGCTATCAGAATACAAAAAATGAAGACTTGTGGAACAGCATGACAGATGCAAGTATTCCTTGTTCTCTTATTTTTTTCAAATTTCATAACTTCTCATTAATAATGTGTCTTTCTAATATATTACTGAAGACTGTGACCAGTAGTTACAATTATGACATGAAAAAGAGGTGACCAAAACTTTTTTTTTCCCTTTCAGATTTGCCCTACAGTAGGTAGTGATAAAAATGAACGACAAGGTGATGGTTTTTGCAGAAGAAGCCAACAGTCATCTTCAAATGCAGTAAGCGTCTAGTTTTCTACCCATCAGTATTTAGGACTTTGACACATATCTGTGCTCTCTCATGTTACTATTCTGTGCTGTGGCATTGATACGTTCACCTTCCAAAAGTGTTCTTTGCAACTTGAGAATGGTTCTAGGGAGAGTGTAAGTTTCTGTAGTTCCATTGGAAATGTGTTTCCTCTGAGACTGGGCAGAAATCCTACTCCTGTGCCCAGGGCTGACTGAAAAACAGCAGTACTTAAAGAGATGTATTAACTATATGAAAATGTCCACAAGAAAACCAGCTGGAGATATCATAATATCCTGTCGTGGTTTAACCCCGGCCAGCAACTAAGTGCCACACAACCACTCGCTCCCCCTCCCAGTGGGATGGTGGAGAGAATTGGAAGGGTAAAAGTGAGAAAACTCGTGAGTTGACATAAAAACAGTTTAATACTTGAAATAAAGTAAAATAGTAGTAATAGTATAATAATAATAATGATGATGATGATGATGATGATGATGTACAAAGCAAGTGATGCACGATACAATTGCTCACCACCCATCGACCAATGCCCAGCCTGGCCCCGAGCAGCGATTGCTCCCCCAGCCAACTCCCCCCAGTTTATATACTGGGCATGACGCCATACGATATGGAATAGCCCTTTGGGCAGTCTGGGTCAGCTGTCCTGGCTGTGCCCCCTCCCAGCTTCTTGTGCACTGGGCAGAGCATGGGAAGCTGAAAAGTCCTTGACTGGTGTAAGCACTGCTTAGCAACAACTAAAACATCAGTGTGTTATCAACATTATTCTCATCCTAAATCCAAAACACAGCGCTAAACCAGCTACTAGGAAGAAAATTAACTCTATCCCAGCCAAAACCAGGACATATCTAGTCTAAATATACCTATGTAGCGCTTACAAATACCCAGCAGCTTTTAGAGTTCTTATTTACCCATTTCTGTTTCACCGTCAGTGTACTGCCATCTTCCTCCCCTTCTTACGTGTCTTCTTTTTCCTTCGCTAAAAACCAGCACTGGACTAAAGGAGAGACTCTTGATGTGAGGGCAATGATGGACACTTGGACACTGCAAAAAGGTTTTCCCATGGTAACTGTCACGGTGAGAGGGAAGAATGTCCACCTGCAGCAGGAGCGCTATGTGAAGGGAGTAGATTCTCCTTCATCCACAGGGTAAACAAAATGGGGAAAACTGAGCACACAAACTGAAATACTCTCCTGTGGCAAACACTGTTGTACAATAAGAGCTTTTGCTGTTATTTCTTAAGGAATGCTGCCAGAGCTGTTTAGTTGTGAGGCTTTCCTGGTGTAGCTCAGGATCAGTAGTACTCCTGTTGTTGGACCCTGTGTGCCTGATTGAGGTCCCAGTAGCTGCAGAGCTGCAGTGGCTGGGTGTCTGGGTGAGCTGGGTGAGCCTGCGCTGGGGACGTGCTAGTGGAACTAGGCTGGAAAGCTGGTATTGTTGCAACTTCAGTGATCCCCCAAGCAAACTAAATGAAAGCTAGCTAGATGCGGCTGGCTCTGCACTCAAGTCAGAGGTGTGAGTGCAGCGTGTTGCTGTTACTGTGCAGGCAAAAGATATTACTCGGTGGTTAGACTGGGACAAGCTGGAGAAGCTTTTGCAAAGTTCTTTCATTAAACAAAGCACTTCTGTTTTGCAATAGGTACTTGTGGCACATTCCACTAACCTACATTACCAGTAAATCGGATGCAGTTCAGAGATTTTTGATGACAACTAAAGCAGGTAATTTCTTTGACTAATTAATTTATTCAAAGTTTGTTTGCAAGCCTTTTAGTTTTGCAGGGTACCAGAGAAGCAAATTTCAGCAAATTTTTGTCACCTCAGTAATACCGCTATAGCGATCTCTTAATATATTCAGAAACCATGTTACTGTGTTCTTTAAATCACTGAAATGAGAGTAACAGTATTATTGGGTATAGTATTAGGATGTGTTTGAATCACTAACAAAAAAAAGAGTTATGTTTTTGTTTCCAGATGTCATTATCCTTCCGGAAGAGGTGGAGTGGGTTAAATTCAATGTGGACATGAATGGGTATTACATTGTGCACTATGAAGACGATGGATGGGATCGTCTGATTAACCTTTTGAAAGAGAACCATACAGTGATTAGCAGCAATGACAGAGCAAGTCTCATTAATAATGTATTCCAGCTTGTGAGGTATGGCCTTCTGTCCAAGTCTGAAAAAAAAATACAAACTCTTGTATTTATGAGTACATATCACTGAGAAAGAAAGTGTTGATAATGTATATAGTATTCATTACATCTGTCAAATAGATGGAGTGCATATTATTTTCTTGCTTACAACAGTGTAAACCTGGGATTTCTCTTGATCGCAGTGGATTTGTCTAAGCCTATTTAGTGAAACATGCTGTGTTCAATAAAGGCATGCTAATGGAAGGATGCCAGTGTGAAGTGATGGACTAGAATAACGTTTTTGCACCTGGAAAGATATTGGTGCCATTTGTCAGTTACAAACAAGGCTGTTACAGTCATAAAGATGTGACGGGATTATGATCATGATTAGTTTCAGTTCTGTGGATGCATTAGAAAAGGTTGTGTCATAGAGGGGCTTTGCAAACGCTTGTGCATAGAGAACTAAAGAACCGACAGAAGTAACTCCACGTCTAAGTGTATTGTGTTCAAGAAAGAGGGTAGTGGGGGGAGCTGGAAGAGAATTAAGATGGGATGAATTTGAGGTAGCAGCTTACAAGGCAATGTCAGCAGAGCTAGCCAAGATTTTCATTTGGACAGCAGAAGAAAGGTCTTTCTAGTTTGAAGAGAAAAGAGGAGAGTGAAGAAAGATTGCTCAGCATGTTCAAGGAGCTTAGAGAGGAAAGGAAGAAGGGACAATTAGAGATGCAACTTGCGTTAAGCAGGGTTCCTTTTCTGATGGGTGACTAGAACATGCTTGTATTTTGAGGCCAAAGAGACAGGTGAATAAGGACAAAATGAGAATGTGTGCAGGAAGCTGACACAGAAAAGAAGCAGAATAAAGGTTTCGATGAAAAAATGAACAGGGAGAGTGAGAAAAGACCTCTTGCATTTTCTCTGTTTGCTCTTGGAAGAAATCATTGAGATGTATCCTGGCAGAGGTAGAAGACAGTTTGCAAAGTCAGGTAAAGACAGTGAAGGAGCTGTTGGGATTGTAGCTCTGAGGCTTACTGCAAGCCAAATATCTACATGTCGAGCTAGAAGGGTGTTGCTGAGGAAATGACCTCGGGCATTGCATTCCTTCTGCATGTGTGTGGTTTGTAGAGCAAAAGTAATAGTGGGGAGAGAGCAAGAGGGAGGGGCTGTGCTGGGATAACCTTGGCATGTGAGAGATGGGGGGAAAAAAGATAATCTTTCTAAATCATTCTCTTACAGTCCATTACTTAGTTCAAAGATTAAATATTAGGTTTCATAGCTTATGTAGCTGCTCAGCCACATATCACTCCCAAAAGCAAAATTAAAAAGAGATTTGGAAATACCTTTAAGGCTTTCCTATTTGTATAGTTTTCTGAAAAACATTTGTCTTGGATTTTGCTTTTAAGTTTGTCTTTTAAGTTTAATTATAACTTGGTTTATCCCCTCTCTTCTACTTCTTTAGGGTAAAAAAATTGTCAATTTCCAAAGCTTTTGATTTAACTTTGTACCTGAAACATGAAAGAGAAATCATGCCTGTACTCCAAGGTATGACTGAGCTGATTCCTATATACAGGCTCATGGAGAGGAGGGATACAGATGGTACAGAAAAACAGTTAAAGGTAATATTTTAAGTATCTAGAACTTTCTAACTCTGCCTTACCCGGTAAAACACACTTTAAAATAGTATATCTTTATTGTTACCTAATTTTAGGAGTATATAGTGCATCTATTTAGAGAGCTGATTGACGAGCAGTCTTGGAGTGATGAAGGCTCAGTGTCTGAGAGATTGCTTAGGCACTCGCTTCTGCTGTTTGCGTGCGTGCATAGGTACCAGCCATGCGTGGACAAAGCCAAAGCATATTTTACAGAATGGCAGAAATCCAATGGAACCTTGAGGTCTGTTCTGTAACTATGACTGTTTTTTCTGATATAAGAACTAAACTTCAGTCCTTTCTGTACTCTGAAGTTGAACCTTCTTAGTTTTGTATCTTATGCTTTAGCTTCCCAGTGCCTTTACAGTTTGGTGCATAATATGTGCCCAAACTAGCACATACACCATGTGGTACTCCACAACTTGGGTTGTTAAAGATGTTCTGAAAAGTGAAAATCACATGTATTCCCTCATTACGTGTCTGAAGATTGACCTATACGGGTTGTAAAAAATAGGTAACTACTGTTTGTGAACTTCACTTTATTTTTGTTTCTCATCATGACACAAGAACTCCCTAAAACACCCCCCAAAATGTCTCTGAGAGATTGTTCTGGGCAGGCTAAAGAAGACTATATCAATATCTGACTGGGCATAGCCATGAAAGGAATATACAAAAATAAAGAAGGAAAAAAAAAAAAGGTATGATGTGTCCAAAATTTCTGGAAGTCATTTCCAGGGCAGGAACAATACTGAGATACAGCCTGACATACGTAACTGTTTCCCAGCCACAGGGATCACTTTCTAATACCCCTGAGGGACGAGTATTTTTTAATAAACTGTCTGCTATGCCAATTGATGTGTGATGGTGACATGGTTGTGTTTCTACATGTATTCCTAAATACGACATAGAGAATAACTTGGTATTCAATTGGCTGTAGATTGCCAGCAGATGTGAAGACAGCAGTGTACACTGTTGGAGCACAAACATCCGAAGGCTGGGATTTCCTTCTTGGTAAATACAGACTGCTCTCATTCAATGTAGAGAGAGAGAACATTGAATTAGCTCTCGCCTTCAGCAGAAGTAAGGACAAACTTCAATGGTAAGTAGTTACACAGAGCAGAAATGTTTTTGGGGAAAATTTACAAACATTGAAACAGGAAATAGAATTATTCAGAGTCTTGTTTCATAGCTTTTGAATTTCATGATGTATAAAATGCTTCACAAAGTTAATATGGTGGGAGGAAGTGGCTGCCACTTTTCATTTCTGTGTTTTGGTGGTGGGAGTCAATGCACTCAGAATTTGCAGCAGCAAATTGGGACAAAATACAATAAAACAGCTATTCAGATACCTTATCTTTTCTTGACAGACACTTCTTTATTTACCTTTGTAGTTACTTTGATTGTAAGTGCATATGCTATACATTTCTTACAAAAATTTGAGGTTTCCTGCTTTAAAGAGAGCTGAGCGCCACTGAGGTTTTCAGATGTTCCCTTCAAACCATGCATTCCGTGAACCCGATTTCTGCCATTTGGTGGAGGTGACAGCATGGGACGCTGATTTAACGGCGTTCAGATATAACTGGAGATGTACTTTAGCTGTTTCATTATGTTATTATTTATTCTTTGCATTGCAGTGCTGTTTGGACACCTTAGTCATGAGCAGCACTTGCAGGCCTGAATTTTCCACTTGCTACTTAGTGCAGAACAAGTACCTTTCTTATAGAGGGAGGAGTGAGGTTCATATTCATTTGGAAATTTTGAGTAGGAGCAAAAGGTAGCCTTGTTTTTACCCTTAATATTCAGAATACATGTCCACCAAGTAACCGTAATTGTGAAAGTAACAGAAATGGGAAAGGTGGATGTGGCTGAGGAGTACATCGTGAAAAGCTGGAAGTAACCCAGCAGAAATGATGTGTCAGGACCTTTAGAAATGTGAACTCTCCACCATAGTACCAAATACTAAGGGAATAGTAATTTGTCAGCTTGATCTACTGGTCTAAACAACTTCCATTTCTGTTATTCTCAGGTTAATGGATCAAGGTCTGCGTGGTGACATCGTAAGAACTCAGGATCTTCCATTTATTATTGTATATGTTGCCAAAAACCCATCTGGCTATCATCTAGCGTGGACGTTTTTAAAAGAAAATTGGGAGAAAGTTGTAGAAAAGTAAGGAACATAAGTTGTTTTACTGCTCTCTCTACTTTGTACTTTAAAACTCTACTCTCTACAAAAATAGACATTTTCTGAGTGTAGGTGATTCTTTTTGCCAGATTTGAACTTGGTTCGAATTCCATAGCAACCATTGTCACTGGAGTGACAAGTCGGTACTCGACAAGGTCACAGCTTGCACAGGTAAGCCATTCAGATCCTGGTTTTAAAAAACAGTTGTTCACTGAAATGAAAATTTGGATGAAATCTTAACATGGTAAAAGCATGACCAGTTATGAAGCATCAGGGTAATATCCTGCCTTTGCCTTGAAAAAGATTGTGACAGTGATGAATTAGATTACTTTAGGGAGAGCATTAAGTCAATGGCAAGCGGAAAGATGGTCTTTGTTTAAGCGGTGAGCTTGGAGGCAGAGTATGAATGTTTGCCTGCCAAAGTGTTCACAGTTTACCTGTCTCTATTAATATTTTCTATCCACTCTGGAAAGTAGTGAGAAAAAAAAATGTAGGTCTTTTCATGGAGTAGACAGACGAAAAAATGCTGAAGGACAGAGAGTGAGAAATCATCTCACTGTTCTACATCTTCTAATGCGGGGAAAATTCTCCATGCTCCTGGATGTCATGTACGATAGTCATTTTGTCTCATGTGTAAAGTGGGTGAAAACCCCAGACTGGTCAATGTGCAGATGTAATGGC